CTTTGGTGCTTTATGGCAGACTATGCGATTACATCTCTGCACTTATTTTTTTAAGTGAATGTAGAACACTGCAGTGGTGATAATAAATTCCTTTTATTGAGCCTCAAATATAGAATGAGTCCAAAATGCTTTACCTTCATTTTACACATGGATCACGGAGCCACCATTACAAGGCAGTCATCTTTATTGAGGTGGAAAAGTCCTTCAACAGAAGTTTAAGGGGGAGCAATCAGAATGTTCTCCACAAAAGTACTTTGATACTTGTTCCATTTTGCACTCTACCCCCAAGGAATGTGTGTGTCTTCAGAATTTGCAATGGTGATAATTTGTTCCACCAGAGCTGGCAATTTGTAACGTTCTAGATACATTACAAAATCCATATTTTTCCATGCTCATTTGCTAAGGAAAAGTCTTCATGAGTTGAACTGAGTAAATTCACTGTAGCAGAACAGTCACAGCCTTTAGTTATCTAGTGGGCTATTGCAATCAGATTTGCAATATCGCCTACTAAAAACCAGAGTACATTCAGATTTTCATAAAGTCAGCAAATAGCTGCCCACTTCATTTTTATAGACAAGAGTACATAGTGAGAAATATCAGCCTTTTTAGTCTATTACATGACCAACAGTAACAATTTTAAATCTAGCCTTATTAGCAGTAGCTCTGGAAAGCCATCATTCTGCTCTAATCACAACTGGATATTAAATAGAGCCTTGAAATGTTTTCTAGAGAAATAGATAAAGAATCATTAATACAGTCAGAAAATGCCATCACCATATTAACAGAATTCCAGCTGCTTTCATCAAACTGTAGACCGGGGAGTGAGGAGGAAGGGTGGGAATTAAGATGCTATTCTTCCTGTCATCGAAATGAGTACACTAAAAGGTAAGATCCCCCCCCCCCCCAACAGCAAAAAGCTAGATATATTGTAAATGTTGTACTTCAGATTTGTTTTAAGCCATATCTATTGTGGAAACATGCATGCAACCACCTGGGATTAAAAAATGGTTAATGAATGCACACTGCAGTTCATTGTTGCTACATGTAAGCGAGCATATCACATGAGCTGCAGGCCAGGTGGGGCAGAAGGCCATATAAGCTTATTACCAGACATAATGATAGACTCACAATAAGGCTATGTCTACACTGCAGGCTTTTTGTGCAAGAACTGTTTTGCGCAAGAGCATGTCCACACCACCATGTACTTTTGTGCAAGGGATGTGCTTTTGCGCAAGAGTGTCCATGGCAGTGTGGATGCTCTCTTGCTCAAGAAATCTCTGATGGCCATTTTAGCCGTAGGGGTTTCTTGCACAAGAAACCCCTGTTGCCTGTCCACGCTGCCTTCTTGCACAAGAGTTCTTGTGCAAGAGGGCTTATTCCTCGTGTGGAGAGGAATAACTCTTGCGCAAGAAGCCCTCTGTTCCGACACCTTACTGTAAATGTACTTGTGCAAGAACTCACGTGCAGTGTAGATGCTCCGCAAGTTTTTGTGCAAGAACAGGTGTTCTTGCACAAAAAGCCTGCTGTGTAGACATAGCCTAACAGTGCTCCCAATGCCAACAAAAATGTTCCGTATCCACAACAAATTCAGCTGGAGCTGTCCACAGCAGAGTTCCAGTAAATATTTTCAAATCAGCGGAGCTGAAAAGCCTCACATACTGTTTCCTAGAGCACCTCACTTATTTCCCTTCACCCCAATTCAGAGGCCCAAGTGGGGTTGGTAGGGGGGGAGGAAGTGAGAGGCTCTGGGCAGTACATGATAATTTTCATCCCTGTCCATAGCTAAATTCACCATTAAAACTAGAGACCTTTTAAACTCAATCCCAATTTTCAGAGGTGCTGAGCACCAGCACTTCCAGGTGAAGTCAGTGGGAGTTGAAGCAGTAGGTTTACCAGGTGTTATTTCTTTGCTCTCATAGCTCTATTTTTGTAGAGCATATTAGCTAAGTATATCCAAAAGCATTTTTCATGCCAATGCTAATTAAGCAAATTTCTTGGCGTTTCTGAAAAAAATTAAAGTAAATAAAAGAACGGGAGCCAGCATCCTTAATGAGCTGACCAATGAGAAACTATTTTTACCTTCTATTGATTTCTCTTACTACAGGCTTTTCATCTCAGTGTTATCTTGCTTCGGGGCTCAGCGACACAGTAGCACAAAGGAGTTATTATTCCCACCAATGCAGTTAATGATATATTAGTCTAAAATGTATATTGACCATCCCTTAAATAATAAAAAACCAATTGTCAGTGCTATTGTTTTTGCCAAAACAGACTAACACAGCTAGTTCTCAGTGAAGTGATATGCACTAGAGTCAGTCAATCACAGTAGGAACACTGAGGTTCTCAAACTATCATAGAGCATAGCTGCTCTCTAGTACCCCTTACCTCCTGAGTATGGTATTGCTTGAACTCCCTGCATTAGTTTCCTCCCCTAAGGAGAGGCTCCTTGGCTTTCCACAAACAGGTCTGTCCTGGAGATATGACTCAGCCCTTCTAATAACAAAAATCCAGTGAGAAAGACTGAAATAAGTACTACTATGTGTGGCTTCTCTTCAGGCCACTCTTTTCTCAGACCCTTTCTGAGCTACCAGAACATTAGATCTCAACCTGGTTTGCCTGGAGTACTCATGCTTTTGCTGATCCTGACTTAGAAACCTCTACAGCTTCTTGCCCACACCCTATAGCTCTGAGCATCACATTACTTGCTCTCTCAGCCCTCTTATAAGGCCCAAGTGTCCATTAACTATCACCCAACCCTTTAATTCCCTTCTGGATGGGAAAAAAGGATAATTAGTTATGGCACAGGTGGAGCTATTCCAGCTCCTCTTAAGGGTGTGTCCACACTGCAGCTGGGAAGCAAGCCTCCTTTTGCACTAGCCTGCCAAAATAGTTATGTGTCTGTTGCAACTCAAGTAGTAGTTCAGGTTCTCAAGCTAATCCAAATGGCCAAACCCCTTGATCTGAGTCTGGGTACCTTGACCAAACCTCCTGCACTGAGATGCTGCAGTGTTGGTATATCATCAAATTATTCATGGTCTTTGATATATATATATATATATATATATACACACACACCCCTGCACTGCAGCATCCCAGTGCAGAAGGCTTGCACAAGGTACCCAAATAATATAGTGTGACTTAGACTCCTTGCAAAAGATAGGATACATTAAGCTTTAATAATAAAATCAGCTTAAACAAGTATATCTTAGCTTCATCAAGGACAGAAAATAATTTGATGATTCCTGGGGGCCTCTGAAGAACATCTTTTCTGGGTCCTTTTCTTTCAGCCTCCAGCTTTGAGGTGAAGTTTTATGATCACCCTTTTTCTCGTTAGCAATTTATATCCTGCTGCAATCAGGAATTTTTCCCCCAAATTCTTCTTTATGAGAAGATTTGCACCATGGCTGTGTCTAGACTGGCAAGTTTTTCTGCAAAATCATCTGCTTTTGCGGAAAAACTTGCCAACAGTCTACACGGGCCGCTTGAATTTCCGCAAAAGCACTGACAATCTCATGTAAGATTGTCAGTGCTTTTGCAGAAATACTATGCTGCTCCCGTTCGGGCAAAAGTCTTTTTCCGGGGCTTTTTTGCGGAAAAGCGCGTCTAGATTGGCCACGGACGCTTTTCCGCAAAAATGCTTTTGTGGAAAAGCATCCTGCCAATCTAGACGCGCTTTTCCGAAAATGCTTTTAACGGAAAACTTTTCCGTTAAAAGCATTTCCGGAAAATCATGCCAGTGTAGACATAGCCTATCAGTGTAAATTGTGGCCACAGGTGCTAACTTTTGCTTTTGCCAGTGGGTACTCTGCTCCTGCTGAGCCTTTTCCCTGAGCACCTCCTCCCCACTTGCGCCTCTTCCAAGAGTGGAGTGCTTGCCACTTGCTTCTTTCTACTTCTCAGCTATGTCCTCACTGGTGGCTCCTTGTGCCATGTGTGAGATGTGCTTTTGCGCAAGAGCGCCCATGGCAGTGTGGATGCGCGGCAGGGGTTCTTGCGCAATAAAATTCTATAGCTAAAATAGCTTTCTTGCTCAAGAGAACGTCCACACTTGTGCTTCTTGCGCAAGAGCTACGCTCTTTTTTTACAAGTGGAAGCTGTCTTGGCAAGAGCTCTTGCGCAAGAAGCCGTCTCTTACCACGCCGTACTGTACATCTTCTTGCGCAGGAGAGGGTGGGCAGTGTGGATGCACTGCAGATTATTGCGCAAGAACAGCTGTTCTTGCGCAAGAAGCCGCAAGTGTAGACATAGCCCTCCTGACTTAAGTGTGAGTGATGGTGAGGAGCAGAGTAAAGCAAGTAGCTATGGCCTCAAGGGAAAAGGAGGGGGGTCACAGGGGAAGAGGCTGAGCACAGGGCCACAGACTGTGGGTGCTGCTGAGCACCCCCTATTTTTGTGGGTGATTGAGCACCATTGCACCCATGGAGTCAGTGCCTATGGTGCTGTTTCTTTATGTAGTACTTTCCCAATAAACATAGCCCATTCCTGCCCAGAGGTAACCCTTGGCTACGTCTACACTGCCAGCTTCTTGAACAAGCATTCTTTTGCAGAAGAGTTCTTCTGAAAAAACTCTTCCAGAAGAGAGCATCTACACTGGCATGTGCTTTTGTGCAAGAGATGTGCTTTTGCGCAAGAGCATCCATGCCAGTGTAGACGCTCTAATGCGCAAGAAAGCTCTGATGGCCATTTTAACCATAGGGCTTTCTTGTGCAAGAAATTCATGTTGCCTGTCTACACTGGCCTCTTGAGCAAGAACAGTTGAGCAAGAGAGCTTATTCCTGAGTGGGAGCATCATAGTTCTTGTGCAAGAAGCCCTGATTTTATACAGTAGAACATCAGTTTACTTGCACAAGAACACACAGCCAGTGTAGACAGGCAGCAAGTTTTTGCGCAAGAGAGGCTGCTTTGGCACAAGATCGCGCCAGTGTAGACACAGCCCTAGTGTTTTATTGGTAATTTAGTTTGAAGTGGAAAAAATAACCTGATACCTCTTCTGTCACTAGGCCCAGCGAGGCATGGGACGAGGCGGAGCTGCCCACTGGGTCGGAGGACAACGAGGAGGACCAGGGGAGCACTGTGTCCCTGCACATGGAAGTCCTCTCAGGCAGCCCGGACATCTCCCATGCATCATTAGAGGCCGGGGAAGGATCCACTGGTGAGTGTTGCACTTTGCACTCACAAGGGCAGGGGGAGCCAGGTGCCTGGGGGGGAGAAGGGTGGGGGAGGGAGCATCACTCAGGCAGCATGAGCTGCACGCTGTGTACCATACCAGTATGCAGCACGTGCAACCACGTGCAGCCTGGTGACCGAGTGGCATGTGGCCATGGCAGGCAGCTCCAGGGCACACCTGGGACCATGCTGCTCACACACATCCAGACCAGGGGGAAATCCAGCCAGGGCCCCAGGGGCTCAGGCCAGAGCCCACACCTCCCGAAGGGTGTAGCACACAGACAGCACACTGTTCATGCCTGGCTTTGCAACAAAGCCAGCTGCTCCTGGGAAAACCGGTGAGCCCCTCGCCTGCACCCGGTGCCTTGGCTGGCGCCCCCCGGGGACTGCGGCCACACATGTCCCTGGGCTACGTGTGTGAGGGCTAGCGGGAGGGGCGGGGAAGCGCTCGGGCCGGCCCTAGGGCCACCTGAGTTTTGCTGCAAGGATGGTATACTCCCTAGTCACTCCTGGTTCCATCCAGGAGACATCCACGTGCTGGGGATCAGAGAGCCCAGACCATGTCTCCCAGGCACTGTGTGGGTATTCATCTTGCTCCCTGTCAAACACCATTGATTAGCCCAAAGCCTCACAGCAGGGAGTTCCACGGGTTAAGCAGGACCAACTCCTCCAGCAGAACGTACAGGCCATCGAGAGGATTGAGGCGACCATCACACACCGGGCGGATGAGGACCTGGAGTAGCGCCAGCAGGCCTGGGGCCGCTTCCAGGCTCAGTGCCAGTGCAGCGGCGATGCCATCACCGCCCTCACTGCACACATCAGGCATGCTGTGTATTATGGTATGGCATTGCCCCATGCACCTGCCATCCCTCCCATGCCAATGCCAATACCCCTCCTCCTGCTGCCCCTCCTGCTCCTGCCATGCCCCCTCCTGCTGCCCCTCCTGCTCCTGCCATGCCCCCTCCTGCTGCCCCTCCTGCTCCTGCCATGCCCCCTCCTGCTGCCCCTCCTGCTCCTGCCATGCCCCCTCCTGCTGCCCCTCCTGCTCCTGCCATGCCCCCTCCTGCTGCCCCTCCTGCTCCTGCCATGCCCCCTCCTGCTGCCCCTCCTGCTCCTGCCATGCCCCCTCCTGCTGCCCCTCCTGCTCCTGCCATGCCCCCTCCTGCTGCCCCTCCTGCTCCTGCCATGCCCCCTCCTGCTGCCCCTCCTGCTCCTGCCATGCCCCCTCCTGCTGCCCCTCCTGCTCCTGCCATGCCCCCTCCTGCTGCCCCTCCTGCTCCTGCCATGCCCCCTCCTGCTGCCCCTCCTGCTCCTAATACCCCTCCTCCTGCTGCCCCTCCTGCTCCTGCCATGCCCCCTCCTGCTGCCCCTCCTGCTCCTGCCATGCCCCCTCCTGATGCACCCCATCTTTCCCACCTCCCCGTGCTGCTGCCCCGATGCAGCCTGAACCACATGTAGTGGTCCGCCCTCGCAGGGGCACTCGCATGGGCGACCCCTCCCAGCACTAGCTCCCTCCTCCCCCTCCCAGTTCAGAGCCCCCTCACACCCTACGTCCCCACTGTAAATAAAAAGTTCAAGATGTTGTTTTAAAAAAAACACTGTGTTGTTTATTGGGAGGTAAGGGGAGGGGAGGAGGGAAGGGTTGGGGATGGGAGGGAGATGTAAAGGGAGACAGAGGCGACCCTACTGTGGGGCCTGGGAGAACATCTCCATCAGGGTCTCCGATGTGTGCACCTCATCATGGTGCGCCTGGCGGATGGCAGTTGTGCGGGGCTGCTAGAAGGCCTGGCCCTCTCCTGCCATCCCTGCCCGGAGGAAGGCCTCCCCCTTCCTTTCCATGATGTTGTGGAGCACACAGCACGCAGCCACCACCTCAGGGACGTTCCGCTCAGCCATCTCAAGACGGGTGAGCAAACAGCAAAACCAGGCTTTCAGACGGCCGAAAGCGCACTCCACCTGGTTGCGGGCCTGGCTAAGGTGGTCCTTGAACTGCGCCCGGTCATGGTCTGTCCGTCCCACGTAGGGCTGCATTAGCCAGGGCAGCAGGGAGTAGGCCACGTCCCCCACAATACATGTGGGCGTAGGCATGTCCCCAATAATAAATTCTTGCTGGGGGAAGAAAGTGCCCGTATCCAGCCTGCTAAACAGGCTGGAGTTTCAGAGAATGTGGGCGATGTGTGCCCTACCGGACCAGCCTGCATAAATGTCCGTGAACTGGCCACAGTGGTCCACGAGGGCCTGGAGCATGATGGAGAAGTACCCCTTGCAGTTTATGAAATGGGCCACTCGATGCTCCGGGGCACAGACGGGGATGTGGGTTGCATCCAGGGCTCCCCCGCAGTTGGGGAACCCCAGGTCAGCAAAGCCAGCCACCGCCGCCTCCACGCCCC